CGCAGGGGCGATGCTCTTTACGCACTTAGGGCTTGGGTTATAGGGTTCTAGGTTATAGGTTTTAGGGCTATAGGGGTTTAGGGTTTTAGGGCTTAGGGGGACAAGCCCCAACATGTGGTCGTTGTGGATTTCGGGCTGAAGGCATACAGGCTTGCTGTCAGAGTCTGGGTCCAAACTTCAAACGACTTCCTGCACCGGAGTTCTAGAAGCTTAGCCCACTGTGGAGGCTTATGAGTTTACAATGAACCAGAGCCCTTGATGTAGGGCAAAACCTGGGTTGCTGATACATGCTCATTACAAAACGAGGCGAAAAGGCTCACTGTGCGAAAATTCAACTTGCTTCTGGTCGCTGCTTGGTACGGTAGGCACTGAAATCAGAAGGACTCGAAGCCCTGAACCCTAAATATCTAAATCCCTGCCTCTCCGGCCCTAGATCCACAGATCCCTGAAGCCCCAAACCATCAAAACCCTTGACGCGCCACAAAGTTCGTAGAAAGCCCTTCAAACCTCAAAAACCCAGCAAGAACCCGGCCTGGTTCCGCAGGTTCGACGTTGAAGTCCAGGCTGTCCTGGGTCGGCGAGGAGGCGCTGAGGGGTTTAGGCCTTGGGCTTTACGGCTGAGGGGTTACAAAGATGGTTGGATTTTGTACCTCAGGGATGAACCGGTTGAACCCTAAACCCTAAACCCTGAACCGTAACTTTCATGTCACCACTCGGTCCTGCTTGGCTCTTGCTTCCGAGAGCTCTAACCATTCGGGGTGAAGTAGGGTTCAGGGTGTAGGGTTTAGGTTTTAGGCACGGATCTGCTACTCTACCTGCAGTTGTGCAGCAGAAGTCCACAAAATCCAAAACTAGGCTTGGCCTGGAGCACATCTGACAGCGCCCGATACCACAAAGGTATCTACTTTTCTACCAAGCTTTCTGGTGATTCTTCGCACGTCCAAGGCATCAGCGTTTTTGGCTTTTGCCTTGCATGAATCAGCCCCTTAGCATCAACCTGAAGGTGCCTTAACTCGGAACGTGCCCCCAGAAATCGAGGCTCCCCACCTTGGAGGAGCCCGCCACACTATGTTATTGGAAGCTGTGCAGGAGAGGTACTTCATCATGTCATGAGCCAATTGCGAACAGAATTGCAGCATCCAGCATCACAGTCAAGGTTGATACGCAACAGCGACACTGGTTTCAAATGTCTGTTCGGAAGCACTCCTGTTCATAGGCCCAAAATGAACCTTCAAGTCGCGATGACTTCCTGGTTTGCGGCTTCGAAATCGAGGGCTTAGCTGAGAAGCTCGACTGCACGGGCCCGGTTGAGTCGCGGGCATCGCGGTCTTCGGCACCGGCTGTTGTCGTTGCTGCTGGCGCTGGAGCTTCTGCTGCTTTTGCTGCTCTTGCTGCCGCAGCCTCAAGTGCAAGGCTTACGGCTCCGTGCGCAGGCATGCGAGCCTGTAACGGGCACAATACAAACTCACAGACCTCAACCCGAAACAAGGCAAACAAGGCTTCCAAACTGTTGCATCCAGGAGGCTGCTTCTGGTGATGATGCAACAGAAGCAGCTCCTCCTCCTTCCACCGCAGAACTTTCTGCTCATGGAGATGCCAATAGGAGATGCTGGTCTTGGCGGTCCTTCGCTGTGTCTTCGTTGGCGTGCCCGAACCACATCTTGTCCAAGTGCTCGCGCCTGGACCGAAGCACAACGGTGAGCACGACCGTTGTGATGGCACCGAAAAAATGTCCAACAACCCGGCCATCCTCGTCATTCAGCACAGAATGACAATCACCATCATCATCAACTAAACCATCACCATTTGTGTGGTTGGTGCTGCCAGTTCCTTGTTCTTTTTCAGCTTCTGCTAAGCATGTCATCATCATGTTGGCACGGAGAACTGGCAGAAGCCGCTGACCAAATCAAAACACGAGCTTTCACCGAGAGCCACACAGCTTTAGCGCGCCCCAGGGATCCACCTCTGACAAGTTTCTTTCGTGCTTCCATGCATATCAAAAACTGTTTCTCTCTTTTGCTTGTAGCACAGTCCATCGGAGTTGTGGTGTCGTCGTCATCGTCGTCAGCCTCCTCGTCGTCGTCTTCTTAGTGGTGGTGGTGGTGGTGGTGGTAGTAGTAGCAGTAGTAGTAATAATAATAGTAGTAGACGTAGCAGAAGTAGTAGAAGTAGTAGAATTAGTAGAA